TTCCGCCGATGCTCTTGGAAAAAAATAGCGGACCAAAAACAGGTTGTAAGTTCCGAAGACCCCGAACCCATCTGGTTCTCTTTTTGTGTGTCCAAAAACACCTCCCAAAACCGCCGAGGCCCCCGGCCTCAGATGGGTCGCCCAGCACACGCGCGCGCACCCAAAGCTCAGGCATGCCCGACTGCCTAAGACCGAGACTCATGCAGGACTCGACCAGTCAGGTCCTGGCAGTTAGAGCAGTTAGAGCGTCCTTGCTACTAGTAGGAGTGGCCTCCACCCTAGGAGCAATGGCCTCCACCTAGTAGCGTCCTTGCCATGCAGTCAGATCATAGGAACCCCTACCATCCAATCACCGATTCTTTTAGAACATGTCTAGCTACAGACATTCATCGCAATGTTTATAGCAACAAAGATGTCAACGGTCGACTTCTATAGTTACGAATTGTCTTTCAAAGAGCGACTTTACAATTTTTCTAGAACCCTCACTCGTTCCTCCAATGCTTTTGCATCTTCCTGTCTATTGTTCTTTTCCGGGGGTTGGATTGTTGAAACGCATTTTCTTGGCCACCTCATCTGCGCAGAAGCCTGACCACCTCATCCCAACAACTCATCCCCTCAGCCCCTGCCCTCCCCCAGGCCCAACGAAATGCCGGGGGTCGTTTCACCATGCCGGTCCCAGGCCCTTCGCCGGTCCACCGGCGAAGAAGCCCGCGGCGCCTTCGACTCGACTCCCCATCCGGCCAGGTATCCATTCCGTCTTCGACTCACCAACACTGGAGCTATCAGGCGGGAAGTCGGGATCGCAGAAGGCCTGGAGCGGTTCGCGGTTCAGTTCAGCGGAGCGGTTCACATCGAAAGGGTGGTGGAACTCATGGGGACGGACTACACAGTCGGTGGGTTCAATCATCCCCAGCAAAAGATACCAAAAGTATCGGAAAAAAACCACCTACCGACTACCGACTCGTGGTTTCGACCTGCCACTGCGAAGGGGCCATGGGTTGGGTACCCATCAAGTTGACGCATCACGCAAAAGGCGCTGAAGGCGGACACAGTCTTCGACCCTTGCTTTTGACCATCCCTTTCGAAAACCCGAGTGCACCACCTTCGGATCATCTTCCACTCCGTGAAAGACTGCCCGCGCGCTCCATCCTGGCATCCGGCCAGTCCGGACCCTGTCCGGACCCTGCCGGAGGGTTCGACCCGAAATCGGTTAGAGGTAGTGTCATTACTTTTGAGTAATTGGAAGTCAGACACTGACAGAAGCCTCTGTGAAGATCTGTGGCACTTCTTAGTGCAGGCTGAAGGTTGGGAAAGAACGGACGATATCCACGTCTTCCTGGGCTTTTCAACGGACGATGAATATCGATCCTTCGCTCCCTGGTCAAGGGGAACAGCGACATGAGATGCTATGAGGCAACTGCATGTGACCTTGGTTGATCATGAAACATGAACCGAACACCAAGGTCCTAGTCATAACCTACACTCCTCAATAGTCCACTGTGGTCCACTGAGGAGGTCAACCAGGCTCGTTCCCAGGGCTCTGGGTGCCATGATCCACATGAAAGCATGGCCCTACAGCACTCTGACGAACACCCCCACATGAAAGCATGGCCCCGAAGGGAAAACGACGTGTTTTGCATTGTTTTGCCACTTCCATGTGATGATCCGATGTGTTCGGAGGGTACATCTAAAGGCCGAGGAAGGCTGAGGATCAGAAAGCATGTGGCCAACAAAAACCACCAAAAGTGCCAGTGGAAAAGGCGTCGAATTTGGTCCACTAGGTGAAGTCCCAGGCTCTGTAGTTCCACTTCCAGTCGGATTTGGCTTGGCATGCGCACACCTCGGCTGACGTGTCATCCAAGCTAGATCAGCGGCCGTGAGGTGCAATGAAGGTAGGGAAGGTCTGAAGAAGAGATGTCCCCAACTGGCCAAATCCGGGAAACACATCTTCACCTTGGCCCCAGATGTCAGAGATGTGGACAAAAAGAAAACACATGAGTTGTTCCCATGAGTTGTTCCCATGTTCCACGGGTGAACCCGGTTTCACCCCATGGAATCACTCATGTTGCCCGCTCCCATGGCGGACCGGACGTGTACGGTCACATGGCGTAAACACGCAGAGGAAACGATGATTCCGAGCAGCTCGTGGGTGGGTGTTTGGAGATCAGTAGATCCCTCCAAGAAAAGGTCGAAAAGGTCAGGTATAGACTGTTGATGAATCAAAACCACCAGATCATAGCAGAATGGCTTTACATCCTCCAGGCCTGGTGGAACTCGACAAAATCAACAGTGTTGCATGCATCAAACAGCATTATGGGCCTCATATGGGGGGATTTGGTTCATCAACATGACCCTGAACCTACGTATAACAACATCAACAGTACCTGACCCTACAGGTCAGGGTCAGGACCTCATTGTTACTTTCAGCTTCATCCCAAAAAAGAAACCTACTAGCGCGCACGTATTCCATCCATTTATGGTTTGCTTTCACCGGCTCCAGGTCTGGTGAAGGACCAAAACCCCGCGGCGCAGCGGCACCGTGTCGTTGGCTCCAAGGGGCCACGGAGCTGATGTGCTGGCCGGGCTCCAGCGTGAAGCAAGCGGGATTCCCCTTGCGTTCCACCGGTGGAATTTCTTTCGCATGGTGGATGAGGGGGATCGAGTTGGGGCTTGGAGTTGGAGGAAATGAGATCACTACTGTGAAATGGAACAATGGAATGCGTGGAAATGATTGGAGGGTATCTAAGCATTCATGTAGACTGTAGACTCTTAGAATGAATCCACCCCGACCCCGCGCATGGAAGTCATGGGAAATCCACAAACCTCTTCAGGCTTGGGGCATTGAAGAGTCATTGATGGAGTCTACTTGAGCAGGCTCAAGTGACTCAGACTCGATCCTTTGTTTTCGACGACTCGCAGGCCTACAGAAACCTAGAGCTCATGTTTGACCTCTGTTTTGAGAGGAAAAGACCATAATTTAGGGTGGTTGGTGATCCAACATAAAGGTCACTCAGGTTCTAGAAAGAGGGACCTGTTGGTGGGGAGTCGTCCTCGAAAAACTGAGCTTCTTCATCCGCAGAACGGATTGAGCAGATTGAGGCCAAAAAGTACCAAAAAATAAAACGTCCAACTCGTCCAAAAGCCTGAAATAGCCTGAAGTTCTTTAGATGTTGAAAAGCATCCTGGTCAGCCAGTGGATTGACCCACACCCATGTCCTTCCCGGCCGCCAAAGGGCGTGGTGCCCAAACAAAAACCAATGTGGCGATGGGAGGTCCGAAGCGAATCCGCTTCGGCCCAAAAGAACGGCCCGCTCAAACGCCGCGGCCGTTCTGCCAGCGGCCAGCGGTTCTTGCGAGCGGTTCGATCAGGACCTGGACCTGAAAAAAAAGGGTCCAACACGTTCTCGGTGCTTCGAAGGGTGCCAGCGTTGGCGGCGGTCCAGGGCCTCTGGAAAGTCCACGTTCTTGCAATTGGTGAAGATCAAGGTGAAGCACTTCCTCAGGCAACTCGGAGGGTGGGAGGTGAGAGCCCTTCTGCCCCGTGGTCCCGTTGCTGCCAAAGGCTTTTTGGTGCCAATAAAAGGGGAACATGAAGCGATCTCCTTCTTGCCAGTGGTTGATTGTACCTCGCCAAAGTGGAGTCGTACCCACTCCTCCCTCCCTCCCTCCCTCCCTCCCTCTCTCTCTCTCTCTCTCTCTCTCTCTCTCCCTCTCTCTCTCTCTCTCTGTGACCCAACCATCACCATCACCAACCTCATCAGACCACGACCCAACCCATCCCGGCCACACCCAGCGTCCACTAGAGTGTGTCGCACAGTGTTCCATGACCGACACCCTGTTTAGGCAGCTGAAAGTGACGTCCAAAATGAAAATGAAACCTCCCCTCTTTCCAAACATGAGCTCTTGTGGATATGAGCTACACAGGCTGCATTTATCTCGTCCAAATCCCCGTCTGCCGAGCATCTTCACCGACTTGGAGGTGTTCGTGATCTTCACCGCCACATGGTCCTGCTGCTGCGTGACCTGTCACCGAGGCGGCGCCAGCCGCGCCCGGCAGGGAAACGGAAGAGAGCTCGGACCCGCTGAGCTCTTCTCGGTCAAGCTTGCTGCTGTGACTGCTAGGGGTGCCCCAAATACCGTCCCCCCCGCCCCACCCAAATGCCGCCGATGGCCGATGTCACCAACTGAACCGGAGCATGCGGACCTCACCTCCAAGCCGCCGCGGAGCACTTCCGTCCGATACTTTGAGGCTCGGGAAGTGCCCCAGCCGCAGCAGGCCATGGCGTCCCAGCGGGGCGCGTCAGGCGACGGGCGCGCGGTTGACGGGCCGCCGCAGCAGGCCACGGCGGGGCTTGTCTTGTTCACGCGTGGGCGGGGATATGGGAATGGGCAGAGTCAAGGTGAGGCTGGTGCTGGTGGTTGCGTGAGTTTTTCCGTGTGGCACAAAAATGTGTCTTGTCCAAGAAATTCTGGTCAATGAAGGTGTTTGCTCGATTGTTGCATGGAAGGAGCTAGCTCATATTGCCTATAGGAAGCTATATGACCTAGGGTTGTCAGAATAGACTAGCACTGTGAGGAACTAGGTATCCATGGAAACTGCATTGCTGCTCTATATCGGGTGTGTTTGCTGCCAAGTGAATGCCATTGGTATGCTATCTGAGTTTGTGTTTGGATGGGTGACAGCACCTATCCAAGCCCAACAACAGGCATCGGGAGTCCATGGATCCCTTTCGACCCCCGTTCTTCAAACGAAGAGCGGTTGCCCCGGATGAAGGTTTGGTCAGACCTGAACGGACCAAACCTTAAGCCCTGGTCATTCCCATGGTCATAGTCAATGCCCAGGTAGACTTAGACTTAGAGGATCTTTAGAGGTTAGGGATGGTTAGAGGAATGTTGGTGATACGTGGGGCGTTTTGTGGATCCTTCCGAATCCTTCTTACTCACCCAACTCTGTCCTCTTGACCACACTTGATCCGAGCTCCACATGTCGACCCCGGCACCTCATTGAAGGTGGTCGCAGGCACTTGTGCCGCGGCTCGGCAAGCCACTAGGGAGGCCCTGGCAGCGCTGAAGCTGGTGTTCGGTGCTCAAACGGTTGTGGATCGTGAGGGCCCCATGGTTCGACCCGTTATGGAAACTCCACGCAAAGGCTCTCCCCCACTAAAATAAACCGACTACTGAGCAGCAGACACGCACACACACACACACACACACCACTGTGGCCTGTGCCGCATGGCAACGCTGACGCGAGTGGAGAGCATGGCGTTCAATCGGCCGACCTGGCCACAAGGAAGAAATACGTTGCGAAGACTTTGCAAATTGCATGAATCATCCATAGGAGTTGATTGAGTTGCCAAACCTGGCCATGCTTTTTCAGGTTCCCTCTCTTGTAACCTTAAAAAAAAAAAAAAAACATCCACACTCCGCACCGACTGCGCCGACCGCACCACCTGCAAGCGTCTTCGAGGTGCGCGGACCGCGGAGAACTCTCCACCGTGCTCGGGAGAAATCGGCTGCGGTTTCGGCGGCGGATTTCGAGATGCGATGGATCGGTCGATGGACCGTTCAGAAAGGCGGCAGGTGCTTCAAAAACTGGATTCCCCAAAAGGAAGGAGGTATGAGGAGATCCTGCTAAAAAAAAGTTCTTCTGAGGCCCATTCGTTGTTTTTTTGACTTGTTTTTTGTCCATGACAAGCTCATAGAATGAGAAAGGAGGAACCAAAATCAAAAATGATTTGATCTATCACTTGTTGGGTCCCTTGCCAGAACGGATGAAGGGCATCTCTTCGCGTCTAGTTTCAGCAGCAGCCTTCCCTTCCAAGCGCGCGTCCGGCTGAGTTGAGCGCAAGCACATGACATCCCCCAGCGAGACCCTATCTCCTCTACAAACCACCAAGATACAACCTTTCTTCCTTCTGAGACCAATGACCCACCACCTGAGACGGGGTGTCGGCAGATTCGGCAGATGTCACAAAAGATTCATGTCGCTTCAAGCCAAATCTGCTGAAGCAGATCATGGTCTTTCACACCCCTTCCTAAGACCATCTACCTCCAAACAGTAAGTGATCCCAAAGGAATGCCACCAGCAACACACAGTGACACCAATATATATATATATATAGTTGTTCAAGGGCGGCCTTTCTTTCACTGCCGTCTGGAGAGGTTTCACGTGGGCGTTTGCCTGTGGCTTCAACTTCACACCCTGCACTGAGGGCGAGTACCTGAGCACCAGAAGCACGGTTTGCAGCAGCCTCCAAGCTGTCAGCAAGGGTCCGCAATGAAGTAGCAGCAACCTTGATCTCAATCAAGATGCCAATTGCCAATGGCGGTCCCGCTCATGAAGATACACCCCAAGGCGTGAAGGAGTAGGCGAAGTGACCCGGATCGGATTCCGGGCAGGAGGTGCGGGAAAAGTCCAAGAAGGCCGGAAGTAAATCCAAAGGCCCAAGCACACAGTCAAAGCAGAGCCCAAGACAAGGCCTGTGATGAACACGGCGAGATGCAAGGGAAGCGAGGCAGAGCAGTGTGCCGTACCAGTTAGAACCAGCACCTGCCACCAAGAACTGGAGCACGTCGGCTACGTGCATCCACCTCTTCTTCGCTTGAAACCACGATCGACCATACCATTCAGCACTGCAAGTCAGATAGAACAATCCGCGAAAAAGACTCGGGCATCCGCTTAGACTCGGCAACTGTTGCAGCGTTTCAAGCCAGACGATAGCCCGCACACACCACCACCGCGACGGCGATAGCCACGCTCTTCTTTTGGTGCGAGCGCTCTCGCATGGTCGTCTTTCCCCCAGCTGCCCTGCGCAGCATGGTCGTCTCGCCCTCGCGTGAGCATGCGTGGGCGATCTCTATCGTTTTCTTTTGGTCCTGGTACCAGGGAACTAGAGGAGAGAAGCCTCTTTCGTCCATGTTGGGAAGCAGCTTGGGGTGATCACCCCAAGCTGCTTGATTGGCTGTTCATGTATCTCAACTCAAGCTCATGGCCTTTTTCGCTGGATGTCCGAAACCTCCAACTAACCCCAAAACCTCGCTCCAGTTCCCCCGCGGTGCACACCGTGTCCATTCACGGCTCACGGCTTTTTCACCGCGCGGCTCAGCGCCGCCTTTCGTGCACGGCCCCGGTGTTCACCGCCGCGGCCGCGGGTCCCGAGACGCACCGGACAGGCTCAGTGGACGACCGGCTTCAGCGGGGCTGCTCGGATGTTACTGGCGAGAGAGGAGCGACGGGTCGAGAGCGCAGTGTCGAGTCGAGAGCGAGAGCTAAGTGGTGCTCCTTTTGTGATCCCTAAAATTTACTAAATGTAGGTTGTTGTCTCCCATGTCTTTGACATTCTTTGACGATTTTTATGGCAGGCTGCTCTTAGTAGAGCAAAATAATCGCACCCAAGTGCTTGGGTGCTACGAGACGTCACTCTGCAAATCCTAGGAGAGCCAAGCAGGGCCTCGGAAAGTTCCTATTCACCACTTACAATTGGAATTTCGTTGTTCAAGAGACATGTCTTGCTAGTGGGCTACGATCTCCCTGCTTTGGCAGAGGCTGATGATTGGCCATGTTCCATCTTGATGTTTGCTTGATGCATCATCACCAGAAACTACCCTGCTGCAGATGCGCCATGGACCCCCAAAACTGCTGGGTTGGTCTTCGGATAATGGGAAGACCCCAGTCCGGTTCATTCTCAGGGTCCAGGTGTGTACTACCTGCAAAAGGTGTACTACCTTGAAATAACTCACCACCTAATTATATCATCATGAATCATGAAGGCCGCCTTATGTGACCGCCCTTCGCTTCAACCCCCCCCACCCCCTTCGCTCACCGCGCCGGCCCCGTTTGCCCTCCGTGGCCAGCTGAGCACAGCACGAGAGGTCGATCCGACTGTCGATCTCTTCATCCACCTCCCCGACCACGGCCTCGGTGTCCGGACCGGTCGCCGGACGTGTTTTTCGGCGTGTGGTCCAGTCGGGTGACGAGAAGGATCCAAGAGGAAGGTGTTCAAAATGAGACGAACATATGCCCCTTTGGGCTCCAAGTACGGGCGCCTCCAAAACGAAGGTATGACTGGACCCTCTTCTTGGCACCCACTGGGGTGGGTCCCACCGAAACGAAGGTACGACTGGAGCCCTAGGGATGCATGGGGTATATCCCATGATGGGGTTGAAAGCATGATGGTCCCATGCTTAGATATGGTTAGATGATGAGAGGCCTTTCTCTAAAAGCTATAGAGAAAAACCAACACAAAAACATGACCAGGTTTCAAAGGATGGTTAGTATATGGTGAGGTCGCAGGCCATTCGCTAAAAGAGGGGTCATCTGTTTTACCGACTGTTACTGGTAATGGGCTACACCCGGTGTGGGAAACTACTAAAGCTACAGGCTGAAAAGAACTTTCAATCCACGTCGTAGATGGTTCCTCCAATCCACCTTCCTTGTCCAATCATACACACCTAATTATTTTTACAACATCACATTGTGGCATCAAACCAAAAAGCACGTGCATATGTTCTTTTGAGCTTCCCACAATAGTTGCTGTGGTTTCTGAGCAGGTCTCTAACTGGTGCCCTACTGCCCTACGTCTCAGCATTGTTCTTCTTGGTCCGGTCACAGCAGGCACAAACGCTGATGAGTGGATAGGACAACATCCTCTTGAGTTTAAAAAGGGGGCTTTCTGGACGTGTGATCTTCTTGTAGCATGTTCGCTTGAGACAGGATTGATATTCTATCTACTTAACAGTTTTCCTGCATTTGGAAACCTCCAAAATAGACCGGTCGCGTGTAACTCTCTACCTTTTCTCGAGTATATACTTTTTTTGTCGTTGCCGGTGCCGGTGCCGGTGCCGGATGCCGGCCGGTTGCCGGTACACAAAAAAAGTGTATTATGCTTTTCTCCGAAGGTCTTTGGTGACCTAAGCGACTTATATAACCAGGACATGTCGAGCATGCATCGAGGGAGTCAAAACCCTTTGCTGCAATGCATGTATCAAATAAATTAATGTTGTTGACAGATATTTATTTGTCGAAACCCTCTGTTGTTGACAGATATTAATGTCGAATGTTGATTGTAGTTCAACCCGCCATATGAAGAGGTTTCACAGTGTCGTTCAGGTATAGCCACTACCTCACGCAGTTCTTGGCTCATCAATGCCTTGAAAGGCCTCCTGGAGATACAAGCATTTCATTCGCAGGAAATTTCGTCAGGGATCAGACATGTCATTGCTTGGAGAACCATCGCTAAAGCATGGACTAGGTTGTTCAAGCTGCGCGCACCATGCTTGTGGCCCTGCCATTCGTGGCCTACTTTGGTCGAAATTGTCACCGCAATCCAATGGACGCAAGATGCACTTGCCACCTATGAAATCAAACTTAAGCTTAGACGCATCCAGCGTTGGAAAGACAAAATTCAAGACTCGGCTCGCATTGGGTCCGCCTTTGTCTATAGGCATTTGAAGAACAAAACAACCGAGGAGCCACCGAACCTTGTCACTGATCCCTCTGGCAATGTTATCGCAGCACCAGCTGATGCCATTGCGGAAATCAACTCCCAATGGGATGAGGTTTACAGTGCCAATCTCGGGTTTCCCCATCCCTTGAAAATGTTGGATATTGTCTGGCCTCACATTCATCGTTTTGCTGTTGACTACCCGGTGCCCGACATTTCTGCAAGGGCTCTCAGGGAAGTTGTTAGAAGCCGGAGGAAAGATGCAGCCCCTGGCCTAGATGGCTGGAGAACCATCGAAATGCAGATGCTGCCTGAATCTTGCTTCGAACCGTTTGCCCACATGTTTCGACTCATTGAAGAGACCAATGCTGGTCTTCCCAAGATGCTCGCCACAGCTAAACAGATCATTCTCAATAAGAACGGGAGTTCCGAACCGTTACAAAAGAGACTGATCACGCTGTTGCCGGTTGTACTCCTTGCCTACACAGGCGCTCGTTTTCGACACCTACGTGGCTGGCAAATGCGGGCTACGCCACAGCAGCTTCAGGGTGGTATCCCTTCTAGACAGATGTCCGCTATCCACACCCACCTCGCCCTTACGGTTGAGCAAGCCAAATTCGAGGGTACGCCGTTAATTGGCATCAAAATCGACAAGGCCAAGTGTTTTGACCGCATCATTCCCCATTACGCCGGTGCCCTTATGCTTGCCTTTGGGGTTGCAAAGTCCATTGTTGCGGTGTTTCTCAAACTGTATGACCAACTTGATAAGCATTTGCAGTTCAAATCATGGTTCGCACCCCAGGCCACGCATAGCCCCAATGGTGTGGCCCAGGGGTGTTCGCTATCCCTGATCGCGATTAATGTCCACATGAAAGCCTGGGTCCACCTGCTAGCTGTCCTCCCTGAGGTAACAGCTCAGGCATTTGTTGACGACGCCTACCTTTGGGTCAAGTTAATACACCAGAGCAAACTCGACCTTGCCATCCAGATCACGCAGGCATGGGACGCTTTAGTCGGCCAAGCCATGAACTGGAGTAAGTGCACAGTATGGGGATCCACAGCGGCAGCCCGG